CGAAATTTAATAGTTAATAAAAGTTACCCGGAAGAATCGTCGAAAAAGTGTGCAGAACTTTTTCAATCTCCTACTGCGAGCGACCGCGAAGAAAATCCGGAAGCGCCTTTCGCTTATAAATTTGCCAGTTCAAGTGAGCTAAAGAAATCTCATCAAAACGAAGAAAATTTTGATACTACACCTAAAGATATAGTAAATTCTACTTTGCAAGATTCTTTTTACAAAAGGCACACAGAATATCTGGATTCTTGCACTAATAAAAGTAAAAAAAAATTATTTTTTGAAGATCCAGATCACTCTAAACAAGATTTGAATAACATTGATACTTTATTAATAAGATCCAAAAATATTGAGCCCGAGAAAAGTCCACCTTTTGAATCTAATTTAGATTTCCAAGCTTTGGTCCACAATAATGTTAAAAATGATAGTACAAATATAATCGGGGAACATTCTCTTTCCAATTATCAAACTTCTTTTAATATCGAGTCTATAAAATGCAGTATGCAATCCTCAATATGCGAAGTTGAGGAACTTATTAGAAAGGTGTTTAAATTTTTTGTTTTTTTATAATAACTATTAGATTATCGCGTATTGTATTAAAAATTTTTTTTTTTAATTATTTTGTTCATGATAATTTTTAAGGCTTTATTAATTTTTTTTCTTTATTTTCTATTAATAGTAATTTATCTATAAATCAGTTACATATTTATATATATACAATATTTTAGAGTAGAGCTGTTGAAGATGATTGCAACAAATTTCGGAGCGATCAACTTTACCGAATTTTTTCCTTAAAAAAACTTGAAAGTGATTTACTAAAATGTGAACTTGATCTTATAGTTTCAAATTTGCGTTTAGAAAATTTAGAAGAAATAAGTAATAATTATAATAATAGTGCAGAATAAGTTTTAGTTTAAGTATATGCTTAATTATATCTGAATCATTTTCTACTACAATTGAATTTTCCACTTTATTTTTTTCTACTTTAGAAAAAATAATATTCAAAGTAGGTTTTCCACTACACCAAATTTTACAATTTGACGAAAATAGTGCTTGCTGTTCGTGCAAACTAAACATAATAAAAGTTAAATTTAGTTTATTTTTATTAGCTCTTTAAAGTTGTTACATAATTTAATAATTAGTTGATTCTAACAAAAACTTTTTATTTTTTAAGGCTTTATAATTTTCAAACAAAAAATCTATAATTGAACTTTGAACATTTAAAAAAGTATTTGGTTTTAGTAAATCAAAAAGTTTTACTGCGAAAGTTGTTACATTATATAGCTGCTAGTAAAATTCCGATGTTGCGCTATTGTATGCCTTGGAATTTAAAAGTGATAAACCAAATTTTACTTTCCAAAAAACCAAAAGTTAACAAAAGAGAAAGTGTTTGACTTTATTAATTAAATAATAATAAAAAATTAAGCGCGCGCAATTTGTTCGGGAAAAGCTGAGGCCGGATTAACCACTTCTGTGTAAGGCTCAAGAATTTCCAGATCTTCTTTTGGTTCGTGAATCTTAACAACATCAGGCAAAGGCTTAACGGGACAGCCGGGAAACTCGCCTTTAGAGTTAGTAGGCAGCATAACTTTTACTTTGATACCCAAAACACCTTGGCGTAACTTAATATGTCTGACGGCAAAGTCTACATAATCGTTGCAGGGTTGACCAGAATGTATCATTAAGCCATCTACGAATTTCATAGATTTGGCTCGCTGGGCTCTGAGTTTACCAGAAACAACTATTTCGCAGCCTTTAGCACCAGATTCCATTATAGCTCGCAAAACGCCGTAGCAGGCACGACGGACTGATAATCCATTATATAATTTATAACGGAGAGATTCACACTGCGCAATAGCGCAGAGCCCGCGATTAGGTATTTTTTGAACTAACAAACTAATAGACTCTGGCTCAAAACGAAAACGCTTCTGAATTACTGTAGTAAGTTCTAAAATCCTTCGTGCTTTTTCACCTATTGTATAAAAAAATTTTAAAAAAAGCTTTAATATTTCAAAGTTCCTTAAGGTAAAAAAAAAAGACCCAAAACGTCCTGAGTACGAGTAGCCAAGATGATAATTTCAATTTTGTGGGTGGACTTGCGAACTTCGCAACCAGAATAACCAGCTTCGGCTAACTCACGAGTAAAAAATTCATTTAATTCAGCAAAGAACACCCCATCGAGAACGAACTAATATATAAATAGTAAACATGACGACGTTCAATGTCTAAGGTAAAAAAAGTAAGAAAAAAGAGTATGTTCGCGAACTCAATGATAATAATAGCATATACTGGTTTCAAACCTTTTTCTTTTTGCTTAAGTTTCTATTAAACAAGGAAAGAGACATGACTCTCGTCAATCCAGCAAAAATACAAAGTAAAGGAGAAGGTAATGCAAGTATGAATATAAATTTTATATCAACTTTGGAGCTCTACAAGCACGTGAGATAGAGCTAAAAAATGTGCTACTTTTTATTTTTTCAAAAGGTTGTTAATAGCAATAATACAAATTACAAGAAATTGCTTCTTTTCATATATAATAAAAGATTTATTTAAAAGTTTAGGTAATTCGCTTGTAATTTTTTGCAGAAGTTAGGGAAAATATTTCTGTCTAAATTATTCCACTAAAGTCAATTTCATATTTTTGGTGTTAACTACTTTACTTATACCACCAATTTATTATTTATCAACAAATTGTGGGGTAGATATTATGTTAAAGTACTGTAGCAAGCAATTTTGAAAAGATAGCTATAGCCGATTAAAAAAAACACTTATATTTATATTACTTTAGAATAAAAATAGTTCGTAGTTAAGAGAATTAAAAGGCTATCGAACGCATTACTCAACTTATTTATTTCTGTTTAATAATATACAACCTAATACAACTTAAGCATCCAGTTAGATATACCTTTTATAACTACAGGTCAGTTTAAAATAGAATTTTTAATTATAATTATTATTTTTTTATTAAATAAATTGTGCACGGTTTAACTTTTTTTACAGAATTTTTGATCGCTTTTAAAGTTTCTGAACCCACATTTAAGTTTTTTTTAATAAACGTCGTTTATATCTCCTTTTTTTTTTTTACATTATTGAAACTAATTTAATAATGCATCAGTTTGGAAACTCCTAATTGTACAAAGTATAGTTTTCTTTGTTTAAACTAAAAGGCTCCGTAATTTATGAGCGAGTTACTACACACCCACTTTAAACGAATTAGCCCAAAATGGTAATACTGCCACTACTTTTAAAAAAAAAGTATTGCTAGGGCTAAAATGGTTATTTATTACAGTAGCTTTCGGGTAAAAGAGTCTTAAAGCCTGTTTAAATTCTGTATAACATTTTTTATTTATTGATTTACCATTGGGAAATCAAAAGAACGCCTTTTCCTAATAATGCTTCTGTTTTTAAAGTTCTCGTCACAATCTAACGATTTTTACACAAGACTCCAATGAAACTGTTATAATTTTGTAAGCGAGAAAATATAGTTATGTAATATAAACCTTTTTCTACTTTCAAGGCTATAAACTTGAATTGTAACTTAATTTTAAAAAGCAGTCTCTAGTTTTTTTTTTTATACTATACATTATATTTCTAAATATTTTAATATATATTATATATACTCTTAAGTTTATGTAGAACTATTAATAGAACTGTTTAATTGAGGTGAGCGCATACTTCTTACTAATAGTTTTTCAACATATAGTAGTCTTCTTCCTTTCTTTTTTAATCTGTCAGCTGTAATACGTTAGCTATTAGTAAATACTATTAAGATTTTAAGAAAAACGGGTCTAATTTAATAATTAGGAAAACTTTGTACCTTAATATAATTAGATGAAGGCTACACCTTAAAAAAAAGCATATTTATAACTTCAGAAGTTTTTTAAACTGAGATTAAGGTTTATTGTTTTTTTAATTTTCATTCGCAAAATTTTTATTATTCTATAAGCTAAGTATAGGAAGCACTTCGCGGTGGTGCTTTTTTTACTTTCGAGTATTGCTACTAAATGTGAAGAATTCCTAATAGGATTTTACAAAAAGAATTACTGTTTTCTTTAATGCAATCCGCTGTTTTCTTAATAAATATTTATATAATTTTTCCTACTAAATTGCAACTAACATTTGAAAATAACTTTATTTTCATGCAGTACTCTAAGTTACATTTTTCTTCTAATGTCAATCTTGTTACTTCAACTCTTTATCCTATTTAGAGTTATATATCCATTACAAATTCGATATTTTCCTGGGAAATTCATTCTATGTTAAAATAAAAATTATAATTTCTTATAGTAAAAGTTTGCGTTAATGTTAGTAAAAAGCACTGCAATATATCTTTTTGTTTATAGTTTTATTTCTTTTCGTTACTACTTTTAATTAAAATTGTCTATGTAGCTTTGTGCCTTTCATTTAAATTTCATAAATTATTCGAATCTAATAACCCTTTTGATGGGTAAACTCTAATAAAGAAAATTATAGAAAAGCTTTACTGTAAAGTTAGTTTAAATTTAACTACTATAATTTGTGGAAATTTTCATTTATATATATAAATATTACCGTGATTATCTAGCAAATAATGTTCTATTCTTTTTTCTGCGTAAAATACTATTTATGTTTCATACAAAGCTTTTCAAGGAATAATAAAATCCTAAACTTATTGCTATTGTATAATTCCTCAGTCGCTTATAATAAATTGAAATATTGTTCATGTGTCATATTCTCTTCTTTACTTTAAAGGGCCTAAACTAAAATTTAGTGAAATATTTTACTTCAGTCAGGAAACTGAAAAAAAAAATACATATTATCATTGTAGTATCCTCTCAGTGCGAATGAATCACTAGTTTTATATTAAAACATTCAGTGTACACTTAAATTAAGAATTAGCAACAAAGTTTTTGACCATCATAAACTTTTACAAGTTCATGAATTTAGTTCATCTTCCAGAACTTATATTATGGTTTCTATGACGGACTTAAGGGATGTTAAGAACTTGTCTTCCATAAAATGTTTACAGCAAGCGAGGAGATATGTTAGGTTCAGCTTTACTTAACATCGTGGAGTTAATAAACATTAGAATAAAAGTTTTTATTCTTTCCTTTTATTATAGCTTTTTTTTCTGTTAACTCAGTTTTGTACTTATCTTTATATAATGTGGTCTCTTTACTTTATTTTCCTTCGTTAAGATTTACGAGCAGTCCTCCAGTTTCATAGCTAGCAACTGTAATAGAAGGAGCTAAAGATGAGATTAAGTCTAGGTTTGCTTTACATCGTGTAGTTTATATATAATAAGATAAAAAAGCGGCCCTTCGGTTTCAATGCTGACTCTTTCAAAAGAAGAAGTTAAGATGGGTAAAAGAAATGGTAAATTTTATATTATATAGTTTAAAACTCCCAATTTACTGTATAGAATTCCTTCTTTTTTTAAAAAAGATAGGCATTATACCTTTGAAAAATAGGGATTGAGATCTGCATTTACAAAAATTGGAGCTCAACATTGATCTTCCTTGACAACTTTTAGTTTTATTTACTAAAAAAAAAAAAGTATACATTCCCTGTAATTTTTAAATTTCGGGGCACTTAATACATTTTTGAGCATTTTTTAATATCGCAAACTTTAATAATAGGTTTATAAATTAAATGAAACAGCGAAATTTGTAGTTACTAAAACATTATTGAAACTAATTTTTTATCAACTACTATGCTCATATACTTTTCTCCACACTACACAAACCGAATTTTAACTAAATTTTAAATACTCATGATAATTTTGTTACTATTATTGTTTAACTTAGAAAGTTTTGCGAGTAATAAATTAAAGGTTTTGTACTTAAAATTTTAACTTGTATACGCACAGATTAAAGATTCATTATCAAATCCTTTTTAAGTTAGTTTAATATTAATTTAAAGCTAAAATTTCTAATTTTTACCGATAGAATATTATAAATGAACACCTCGAGCAAGCAAACCTTTATATTTTCAACACACATAGAACTCTACTTCGCCTAACAACGAGACGCTCACTGTCACTAACTTAAGTTACTTCCCCCATATATTTAAGTTAAGTTCCCTTTAATTATTTTGCAATTTACTAACTTTAAACAATTTATAATTATATTTAACTTTCCAAAAAAATAGTTTTAAAAATCGAACCAACCTCCCAATTTACTAGTTCTGATAAGTTTGAGGAGAAAGTTTCTTGAATTTCTATCATTAGTTGTAAACTTCTACTAAAACGAGAGTTAAATATTTGTTTTTATCAGCAATGTCAACGTTGAATCCTTCCAAAGATTTAAAAGATAAAGTCTCCTGTTTAATAAAAAAATTAGAAACAGCAGAAAATGATCAGCTGTTAGTTAACGTCCTATCGGAAAGTAAATTGTTATCCTCTAATATTTGTTAACTCTTTAACGTACGCCTTTATTGATTACAGTACTTTATAAATTTTATAATTTATCAATAACGTTAAGTTTGGTAAGTGTGCCTTCAATAACATGCACGTATATACAATGAATTGAGCAATTGTTTTAATTGTAATTCTTAATTTATTGTAACAGTGTTTAATGATGAAACGCTTGAAGGCTCCAGTATAGCAAAGTCATTATTTTACTTTACTGAGAAGTATATTAACTTCTTGTCCTTCGACGTGGCGAATCATATAATCCAGAACGTTGAAAGGCGAGACCATTTTGATGATGTTGTAAGTATTTAACTTTTGTAATCGTGCAATTAATATATTTTTTTTCTTTTGCAAAAGAAATTTATTACAACTGGTATTTCGTAGACTCTACTACTTAAATTAAGATTATCCGAACTTTTCTTCTCGCAGAACCGCTATGAGCTGGCTCTTGGCAGCCTGCATTCCCTAAAATTAGATTTGAGTAGGTAGATTTTATTATTTTCTTATACTCTTGTTTGTGAAATTTATTGTGGAAGCCCTCCAATTTTTTTCGGGAAAAAATTGACTATTGCTTATAACATATTAAAGTGGATCTTAGCTTTTTATTTTGCTTTTTTTTTTTTTAATAATTTATGTATATATATTTTCCGTTAAGTATTACTTTGTAGATATAAGATTGGAAGCATTCAAACTTTTGCCTAGTTAAAATTGTGATTACAGCTCTTCTAAAATTAATTTTACTTTCGATTAAAGCTTATTAACTTTCTTTGGTTTTTTCTTTATGGTTCTTGTGGTTATAATTTTACGTAGGCACCTGCATTCAAATCTTTTTAATGATAATTTTTTGTTTATTTTTAGCAATAATCTTGCTCACTGGAAGTTTAAAGTTATCTTGCAGAAATGTAAATTAAATTTTTTGCTTAATAATAGTTCTGAGGCTTATCACGTTCTTCAAACGCAGGCAAGGTATTCCTGGCTTTTTTTTTATAATCACTATTTTACTAGTCTTTTAACTAACTATAGTCAACTGAATTTAAACATCTTTTTATAGGTAGTTACTTAATAGTCTTATTTAATTGTATTAAAAAGTGTGTAGAAAATCTTTTAAACAATTAGTTCTTTCAATAGAGTACTATAAAGAAGTTTAACGGTTTTATTTAAACTGATTATCATATTTTTCATATGTATACCATTTATTTTTATATATATATGTTTTATTAAGTATTCCCTACTTTTACTATTTTAGTTTTTACGTTTTCCGTTTAATTGAGCTTTTGTACCTTATTAGGCCTCTAAAGAAGTGGCTAGTTGACAAACAATCTATCGTTCAGTATAACTTTTTAGAGGCGAAGAGTTTATATGCAGTGGGAAAATATTTGGAAGCTGCTAATTTGTGCCTACCATTATTAACCGAAGAAAATATTACCGAAGAACAGAGACTTTTTGTGCTAGAGTGCGCTACGGCCTGCTCGGTGTTAGCTTCCGTAGGAGAGCGTAAGAAGAGCTTGCTTTCAGTCCTATATAAGCTGGGACAGTGTAGGAGTACAATATTATTTAAACTCCTGGAAAGGATGTAATATTAAAATTTACTACGCAATTTTTTTAAAGAAGTATTACACTTTATAATAAATTTTTACCTGTTTATAGGTACTTGGATCAGTTAATAACTTTTGAAGAGAGAAGTTACTTTTTGGAATTTAAAAAAATCCAACTTGCAACTTTGCTGGCGGAAGGTACTTCCAATTCTTATTAAATGCGCTTTTGAAAATATACATTCTTTAATGGTTAGAGTGGCAAACAGCGTTGACTCGAGCCATACTTGAACACAATCTTTGCACTATATCAAAATTTTGCAGTCAAGTCCGAATATCTTGGCTGGGTGTCACGCTTGGAATAACCTCTGAAAAGGTACACCTTTTTGTGTTTTTTTAAAGCGTTCTACATATAATTATGTACTATTACAATATGCGTTTAATTTTTCTTTCAAGGCTGAAGAGCTCACAGCTACAATGGTTATAAACAAGCAAATAAAAGGTTGTATTGATCAAGCTAACGATGTCATTATTTTTGGTATGGGTTGTATATTTTAATGTTTAAATTTTTTATAACTTAGAGAAACTAGTTTCCTTAGATGAAAAAAACTGTAGTGAAAATTCAAGCATCGACATGAAACATGACCTTTTAAACAAAATAATTGGCAAAATAGAGGAGCGACACCCGAAATGGTTCCAGTTGAAAACTCAAAATTTTGACTGTAGCCTTAATTTTTAATTTTTTTTAAATTTCGGTTTAAATATTACCAGTTTTAAGACTATTTTATTTTTGTGATTCGTTTACTTAATAAAAATTTACTACAATTTTAAGCATTAAAAAAAAAAGGAGAAGGGTCAAAAGACTGCGCGTTGCCTGGCACAGCACGTGCTTGTTTTCTTTGATTTATTACATATTTATTAAGCATTTGAAAAGTGTCATTTATATTTTTATACAAAAAAAATTTCTGTTACGCCTTTTTTCTTTCAAAGTGCATCTTGATTTTTAGAGTCGCTGCAGTCCATACTAATAATGGATACGGCAGCGTAAATATTAGTATAAACCATTTCGCTTAACAAAACCTGCAATTTTTATAAAGCAGGGTAGTCAATTATTTGCATTTTAAACCTATAATAAAAAAAAGTTATAGAGTGTTAATTATTAATTTAAAGAAATTTACGCAAAAACTAAAAATTGATAATTATTTTTTTACTTTTAAATGAGGATAACAAGTTCTCAGGATGGCGATGAATCAGATCCTGTTTTAATTTTAGCGGTAGTAAAAAAATTTAATTAGAGAGTATGACTGTTTACCTCATTTTTAATAAAGTGACGTTTTCTTATTAAAGGCATGAACTGCTTTAGCCACACCTTGCAACTTTCAAAAATCTCTTTTGAGTACCAGTGCGAAGGATTTAGACCCTTTGTTTTAGTTCTGGATCTAGTGAGATCTAGTGCTGAATAAGCCACTATAGATGCAGGAAATCTATTATATTCAATAGACATGATCCCAAACGTAATTAGCTCCATTGCTATGGAAAAAAAGGGTAGCGCGTTAGAGATTAGTATATTTTAATTAGAATTAGAAACCTTTATTGTAATCGCTTAGTTGACGAGGATTTAATTCAAATTTTTCTTTTAAGTATTGTTCGTTATCGAGTAGAGCAAAGGATTCTCCTATATTGGACTTCAGGCAGGCTATAACCCATGAAGCTGACGTGGGCGTTATTAAGTTCCAGGAGAGCATCTTTTTATAAATAAATTGAAGTTTTGAGTAGGGAATAATTTATAATTTATATTCAGTTTCTCGCATACTTATTTTTTAATAAATATAGAATTATAATTGCACTTTTAGCAACGCAAAAATTAAAAAAATTTTAAAAAATATTTTATAGTTATACGAGTAGTATAACGCATAAATTACATTCTTTAAAAAAGGTATTTTCATTTATACGTTTTTTTTAAAAAAAAATTAAAGTTATACAATTACCGTGCATTCCGCACGAATTTATTTTTAAAAAAACACAAATTTATAATTATAAAGTATTACGCACAAAGTTATATTATTTTTTTGAAAATTTAAAATATACAATTAGCGTTACGCACGAATATATATTTCTAAAAAAATATTTTCATCAACGTGTACGAAATATATTTTTAAAAATATAGATTTACAATATTACTTCAACATCGCGCACGAATTATATCCTTTACGTAGAATATAATTTATAATAATACCTTCGGCACTACGCACGATTTAATTTTCTAAAAACGTATTGTTTTATAACTATTAATTCAGCCCCACGCAAAATTAGCTTTTTTTAAAAAAAACACATTGTTTCTCGCAAAAACTAAAAAAAATATAAGTTTATAAATATATTCCGCGTCACGCGCACCTTAAATTTTTAAAAAATAAAAAGAATGGAGTATTCTTTTAACAAGACATATGCAAATTATTCCTATATAAGTTTAGTATTCTGTTTATACCTTAACCATCACTCATAAAATATATTTTTAGTAAAAAAAATTTCATATTATACATTTAGCATCACGCACTCCAGTTTAATCACAGCTTCAGTGGTACAGGCCCCTAAAGTTAATCCCGCTAACTTGCTAGGAGGCAGGGGCTTTAGTTCTTGGAATTTGCAGGCAAGAGAAAGAGCTGAAGTGCCTGTTTATTATATTTTAGTACTTTTTTGCAACAGATTTTAAAATGTAAAAAATATATACAACACGGAAACCATAAAGTTGCAAGACTGAAGTATCCACGTTGCATTCACAACTCATGACTCGATCAAAAATGTTCACCGCTAAAAAAAAAGTTTCTGATTGAAGTCTGTGTTCTAAACAAACCTTTAAAAAAAAAATTGTTAGCTAAAACAAAAATAAAAATAAATTATTTAAATTATTCGCACTTCGCTCAGCCATTCAACTAGTATTTCTCGGTATTCTGTCTTTAAGCTTGGATGTTGGAGGAAGTAGTTAAGCGAGGGCTGCGTTTTTTTCTCTTTTTGAAACCACCACAGCCATTCCTTTGATGATTATAAATATTGGAAATTACATATCAATAAGCAAAAGTTGTATAGAATCTCAGTAATATATAAATGTAAAAAACAGTGAAACCTGGTATTCTGCAGATTCCGAACATATACAAATTACTTCATGATTAAGTGAAACACACAAGCAGTTGTAAGTCACGCTATTGGGAACTTCATTAAAAGGGCCAATAGTTTCATTGGCTGTACTGCTATTAATACAGTTTTCTTTTAAACTAATTCTATGTTTGTTTTTAAGTTGAGCTTTATTAGTAAACTTTCTCTGCCCTTTGGATTTTTTTTTGAAAAACTTAGTAACCATTTCGCCACAAGGATTGATTTCAAAACTGGAATTTGTTTTTGAAAGTTTCTGTAAAACAGAGTTGTCGCAATTTTCAAAGTATTTATTTTCAGAAAGTACCTTAAAAATATATAAAAAGGGCATACATGATAAGAAAAGTCTACTTTTATTAAAATATGTTTTGCTATAAAGTATAAGTATATATAAGTAGTAACAAGTTTTCTTAACTTTTTTTTTTAGTTAATATAAAATAATTATTAAAATTTAAATATATGGGGACATAGAAGCGGTGTATATATAATGGTTGTAATTCCAGTTCATAAAAATTAAGATGGGAATTATTCAACAGCGAGTAGTGAAAAGAGAAATTAAGATGTGTTGGGCTACAAGACAGTATTTTTACAACTTTGACGGTAATATTAAAAGTTTTCAAGTACATACGCAATAATATTAAATAGTCTGATATGCTATATTTTTAGGAAGAGAGCTATAAAATTTATCTAGTTAATAGCCAAAACTTTCGACTATACAAACCGTTTTACTTCCAATTGTCTTGGAATTTAAAGTCAATTTAGTCTTTACTAAGGAAGCCATGTTTTCTATTTCTTTAATAACTGTAATTTTAAAAAATACATATATTATGAGCATAAGAACAGTACCTTAACGCAAGAAACTACAAAGCAGAATAGATTTACCAGAAAAGCAGACAGGAAAATAGGTATTTATAGTTATTCGTGGCCTTGCACGGTATTTTCCCTCCAAAATAATCATAATATTAACTCAACGACTTTTAAAAGCGCTTAAAATATGAGTGCAGCGCTACAACAAATATAAATTTTATTACTATCTTGGCTCTTTCCCAAAAAACGGCGCCAAGTTCTCAGATCAAGATTAAGTATACTATCGGCGCTGCCCAACCGAATGCGAAGCTTTTTATTTTAAAATTGGATCTGGGAGGTCCAACTTTGTCAGTGTGGGTATGTAGTCTACTGTAAAACACCTAAATTACCTTTATATATTTCTTATTATAATTAATATGGTCCTAAAACGTTAGCATAAAAAGCAGTAAAAATATTATCTTATAATTATAAGTATACTGAAATTGTCTTGACCATTTTTTAATAACTTTAAACATTAGCTTCATTAATATTGGCAGTTAGCAATATAGCCGATCATATTATGCCCATCTGTTAAATTATATTTCCTTAAAGTTTTGTAAGCGAAATAATACTATATAATGACAAATTTAATATGCCTAATGCGTGATAGTCTGAATTGCTTACGGCTTCACTAAATAGGTATCTTTTTTAAAAAACCGACGTAGTTGACACGCCTTTGCTTTATGTATAAAAGATATAGACTTCATCTATGTTATGTTTGATGCTGCGTATGCAACTCTACATATTTTATATCTTTCCGTTAAAAAAGGCTACAAATATATAGCAGTATTTACGGAGTAACACCTATATACTTGCGCTTGTTTTCTTTGCAGCTACTTACCTTAGTTTTGCTTAGAATATTGTGGTAAAGTTACCTACTTGCTTTCAGCGTTTTATAGTTAGAAGCAAATTCGACATCCATAAAGTTCTGTGGTTTGACTTGGTCTCTTTCTACCAACTTAAGAGTAAAGTTTAAAAATCTCGTAAAAACTGCGAAAGATAAAGTGAGCGTACTGAGACCATTATTAATTCCAACGATAATTCACAAAACCAATTTCGTTAGTTATAAAAAGTTATATGTTCCGTTCACTGTTTCATATTAGTAAAAACTATTTTGTGAACTACAAGGTACTGTTTTAGCTGCAAATAATTACACTATTTTTAGAAAAAATTTAACTGTTTCAAATATACTATATTTATAATCTTGTAGATTTTAGGTGTGCAACCTTAGCCTATAGCTTTTATATAAAAATTTTAGAAGCTTGTGGAATTTATAATAATAATTTTAATGTTATGCTGTAATATTATACAGAGTAAAGTTAAAAAGTTTAACTCTTTAGGTGAAGAGAATAATTTTTTTTAATTAAAGTTTTAAAGTCACATTAACAAAGATAGTTTTAAGCATACAATTTTTTATTTTGAAAAGGGATGGGGTTATTATTTAGTTTCATAGAGAGTAGTAAGTCCCGGGCAAAAAGAACAAAGCAGTGCAATTTAAGAGCTGGTATATCTATATTTGGGGAAGAGAAAAGAGTCAGTTATAAAGTTTTATTTAGTTATAATAATTAAGTCGTTCTAGTATTTTCTTAACAAAACTTATAATAGAGTTAGAAATAAAATATATATAACAAACATTCAAACGAAAGCTAGAGAATTCCCTAACGCAAGTTGCAACTTTTTGAAATAGGTTTTTCTTGTACATTTTTTTAAAAAAGCTATTAATTTTCAGGAACATGAAAATTAACTTTTTGGACAGAAAGCAATTTTACAAAAAACTGGCGAAATTTTTAAAAATTAATAAATTTGTCTAACTTTTCGGCACTTATATTTGCAACAAAAGAATTTCCTCTGAAATTATAATATTTAATAACTTTAAATCTTAAACTATACACAAATATATATACATCAAGCAAAAAAAAATTGTCGGATTCAGTAAGTACTAAGAAAAAAACCTATAAGTACGTTTTAACGGGTATACGCTCAATAAAAAACAAATTGTAAAACTCTACTTAATTAAAAAGGTATTATTATTTTTTTAAAAATATTAAAACAAACCGATTATATAATATATTTTAAAATTTGAAATAAAATTAATTAGAGCCTTTCTTAACTCAAGTTGCTAAAACTTTTACTATCCAAAATTGCTTCATAGTTTGAATTGAACTTAATTTAAAAATTCGTTATGGACGTTTATATACAAAAAAAGCTGAGTGCTTCTATTTCTATAGTTTATTATTCCACGGAAAGTTAGCCCAACGACACTTAAAGAGTATAACTTATTTTTATCTTCTTAATAAATCATAGAGCCATTTTTAAAATAAAGCAGAAAATATTATTTGTACTTATAAACTTTAATTTAACTGTTTCTTATTATTTATAAATTTAACTCTAATAATGCAGTTTACACAGTAATAACATGAAACCAGTTCAGCTAAAACTATATGAATATAAATTTAATGACTTTTTTTGGCGTAAAGAGCGAGTTGATATCTATACTTGCATTCAATTTTGAGCTTTAAAGATAACTTCCCCTGGTAAAGAAATAGTATACTTCCATACAAAAGCGAGAGTTTTTTTTAAAGCTAATATTAAAGATTTTGATTGCCTTTTATTGTTATTAAAAGATGGAAACTCTAGTTCTCCAGTTAAAAGTCTTATGTAAGTGTTTGTGTTAGTGGGTATCTGAATAAGTAATTCGATCAAGCTATTATTATGCAATCGTTTTTTATATACAGAATCTTCAATCTATTATTTACTTTAAAGTAAGGATATACCAAGGAGGTATCAGTTAGAATATATTATAACCAAAACTCGTGAGTGGCATTTCGATGAGGTTAAAGAATTTTAAGGGAATATTTTTTAATAATATTAATATTATATAAGGCGATAGACAAGTTTTTGGTGTATTTATATTATTTTTTTAAAAAAAAATTATTTTCTTTATTTTTTTACTTTCATAAACTTTTATAATATTTTATATAATGCTCGCCTCTTTTCCTGGTTCTTGGGACCGAATGCTCGATAGTTAGTATTATAGTACACAACATAAGCTGCGCAAATACATTAGTTTTGTTTTTAGTGGAATAATAATTTTTATCGGTTTTACTATATTTAGTATCGCCAATATTTTTTTAAGGTTTGTTTTTAAATGAACAAGCCATACTGTGCATTACTATAATAAATAAAACTGGTAAAATAATTTTTGAAAAAGGCCCTGGTTATAACGATGAAGTAACTTTTTGTATCTAATTTTATTGCTTTATAGTAAAAATCTAAATTTTAATCTTTACTTCCCTTTTATTATTGAAGCTATCGGAAATTGTCTAAATATTATATAAGCAACACTCTTTCTTTGTTTCTAGTCAATTAAAAAAGTATATAAAGAATATTTTTAGGGTATATCTTTTCTCTGGTGAATTAATTATTATATATATTTTAGCACTTTTATGAAAATTTTTCAGAATTATTTGACGATTGTGACGAGAATATTACTGGTTTAATATATAAAAATGAAAAATATATTATCACAACTAAAACTGTAAACAGGTATTGACTCTTTAATATTAATTCTTTTTTCTTCCTTATGGGTGTATCGTGTTTTATACTAATTGCTAAATTATATACTTAACTATCTTTTCTTAATATGAAAATTATTTAAAAATTATAATAGCAGTATTTGCGCTTTTGAAACGAATACTAAAAAGTTTATACTATAACGAAATATTATGCTAACAAATAATAACAAAAACTTAATAATAAAAGATGATTTATGATAATAATATGAAAAATCTTTTTTGATTTTTATTAGATTAAAAAAATATATATATTTTTTAACTCTATATTATTTCTGGTTTTACTACTTGATTTTAAAAAATAAAGATTATACGCGGTCGGCCAAGTAAATAAAAAGCAGAGACTTTTTGCGGCCCTTACGTGGATTGGAATTCTTATTGTACTGTACAAGCAAGAAAATCTCTTTGAGTCACGCTGCTTGCGCCATGAAATAGAACAACTTTGTAGCCGAATTGGCTAAATTTTTATTAATATATTTTGCTTTAATAAAAATTTACAAATCCTTTTCAATTATATATTATTCAACTTAACCTTGCTTTAGCTTCATTAAAGCTTTTAGTTAAAAAGAAATATAAATTTGGATTATGCTAAACTGAGCAGTTCGCATGTATTTTTTATATAAAATTAACTTTCATAGATCTTCCTTTAGTGTAATTCATGCCTACCAAAAAAAAAGTTTTATACTCAAGATAACTTTCAAAAGAGAAATATTTTTTATGCAGAAAAGA